TTCCACGTTATTTATCATATGAGTTGGTCAGCAATTCAAATATTCAATGTCTTGACGAGGCTTGGTTTCCGTTCTTTATTTACATTTATAAACTTCATTAAATAAAGAGCAAATAGCTGCAGAATCAATGCCTTCCCCAATATTTTATATCAAAAAACTGACCAATCATATCCTTGAAGTGAAAGTCATATAAATAAAATAAAAATAAGAGAGTTGGGAACTTATCAAACCATATATTAAAAAATAAATAACAAGTGATTAGTGCATGGTAGGGAATCAGTGCAACATGCATAATAATAATAATACAATATTTGTTCACTATAGTGAATTGGTCTAATGTCACCATCACACAGCAACATGGTGTGTTAAATCAATCCAAAAAAAAAAATCAAGATATATTATTGCACGATGTACAAGATTTGAAGAGTCATCTGATACAAGTTGAACTTAAAGTAACCTGTTATGATAAATTAAATTATTGAACAATATAATACACACATTCTTTATAATATTGTCCATATATATATATATATATATATATATATATACTAGTTTCACGGTATGTGCGTCACACGTGTGTATCGTATATATAGTATATGATGTTGTAAAATAGAATTAATATTACTAAATTAAAACTTTTTAGTAAATAATTATAATTGAAAGAACAAAGTACAAGTGTTTTTAAATTATTAATACATATTGTCATAGACTTACTTGTATTTTGAGATCAAAATGACCAGATATCATTAAAACATTTCAAAATACATTCAAAGTTTAAATATGGGAGAAAGTGACATTTCTTTAATAACATTATCTCTTGCTTCACTCAATTTTGTTAACAAATCTAACCAACAACAATTAGAAAACAAAATATCCATTCAAAAAATGTCACCAATAGCCTTTCCTTTTGAGGTTATGAACATAAATAATGTACACCATTTAAGTACAAATTTTGTCTTAAACATTCATACTTGAAATTTAGTAAATGCATGACACTAATAAGGATTACCACAAGTATTTCAATATTTTATCTTTATATGTAACATATCTTTTACAAATTATTATTACTCAATTAATATTTGAGTAAGGCTATTATAGAGAGGTAATTTTATCAAAAAAGTGTACTTGGTTGTTATCATGAATGATGGTTATATATACTTCAGTAGAATAATTTAATTTTAATATATGAATAACATCACATAAGGTGGAAAATATTTCATTAAGTTTCTACCTTATCTTTGTGAAATTGTAGTCTTCTCCTTTTTACATATCATATAGTTGTTGTCTAATGAAAGTATCTTGTATCTTATAGAAGTTGTATCATGATATAAAATATTTAGATTTTTCAATACTAAAAATTAATAGATGAATAAAATTTAAAGTATTGTTTATAGAATCATTAATTTGATTTAAGATCATTTTATAATAAATCACTATTTTCTTATCTATTTTTATATAGCTAGTAAGGAGTGTATCTTGTGACATAAGAAAAAATATATGGAACAATACATAGCCAATGAAGAAGGAAGACGAAAATATATACTCATGCTATATTCACTCTAGTGTTCCATTTGATTTAAATATCTTGCCACCAACACTTTACTTTCTCCGTTCATTTTTACATATATATTAAAAAATATTTATTATCATGGCTATGTTATCATATTATAAGTAAAAGTGAAAATCAATTTTTGAAATAGTGAATTTACCATCAAAACTAATAATTCAATGGACTACGTTGATACCCATTGTTTTAGCAAAATTAGGAAGAAACTCCTTCATTTGAGGAAAAAGAATAAAAAAATAAAAAAATAAAGAAGAAATATCTTACCCAAATCATATGTCTTTTTTCATATATGTTTATTATTAGTCTCTCCCAAAACTTTTCGTCGCTGCTAACTCTTGAAAATGGTAAGAAAAAAAATACAAGTGTGTGAATTGATGAATGATTTGCTACAATTTTTTCACCAACTATTTCTTATGAGGTACCTCGAATTTCGAACTTAATCAATTTTTGCAAATAACACTTGAGATTTTTTTAGGAAGAAGAAGAGTAGAGAACTTAAAGAAATTGTAGTTTAAAAGTGTGAGGAAACCCCTCTATTTATAGCTACCAAATAATAGTACAAATAGGTGTGAATTGTGCCTTATCCGAAAAGTCACAACCTTTCGAAAAAATCACTACTTCACGGAAAAGTCACAACCCTTTGAAAAAGGCACAACTCATCAGAAAAGACACAATCCTTTAGAAAAGTCACAACCCTTCGAAAAAATCACAACCCTTTGGAAAAGTCACAACTCATTGAAAAAGACACAATGCCTTTAATTTAAAAAGGTATCTACTTTCAATATAATAAAATTAATTTAACTAATAAATAAAATAAATTGAATATTTTTAATTGGGGATATTATAGTAATTCAATATTCAAGTTTGAGAGTTCATGTTTTTAAGGTAGTATATATATATATATATATATATATATATAGAATTAAATTTTACTCTTGCGTCATTGGGCAGAAATTAACCATAGAATTCAAATATTTACGGCTACATAATTCAAAGGCTGCTGGCAAAAGTGGGACAAAGTTGGAGCTTGAAGATACTAGCTACCAACTAGTGATATACTTTTTTTGGATTTAAAATGTTTAAGATTTTAAGATTTTTTAATATTTAATATATTTTAATTTAAAATTATAATTTTTTATTTTTTTAAAATTTTGTATTAAATATAAATTAAATAAATAAATAAAATCGGAGAGAATACTGCTATTTATAATTACTAAACTTTTCATTGAATTAATTTGGAAGCTGTCAAATGCGGCCAAAATAAATTTTCTATTACCTACCTTATGTCAACATCATTTTCATTTGAATATTCTTGGTTAGTTTGTTTTACTTGTAGGTTGTGTTCGTACTAAGAAAAAAAATATTTATGAAAAAATATTTCATAAATATTTTTTTGAGAAATGTTTTCTTAATAAAAATAAATATTTTTTTATTTATTCTTTGTGTTTGATATTTAAATTAAAAATGTATTTTTAAATGTATTTATTTATAATTTAGATAAATATTAAAGAAAGTGGGGGGTGTGTGGCGGGGAGGGGGGCAGGGCCGGCTCTATGCTTTTGGGAAATAAGGCTTTTGCCTTAGGCCCCCAAATTTCGGGGGCCCCAATTTTTTATCAAGAATAAATTATGTGTTCAAATTTTTATAGAAAAAATTGATTATTTATGATAAAAAGTATATTTTTAAAAAATATATATTAATTTACCCACTTTAACATCTTTTGTACTTTGTTAAAAATAAGAATTAATAGTGAAAAATGTTGAACAAAGTGAATTACAAATTTTTTTTTATTTCGTTTTAAATTTTAGTCTCAAGCATTACTACAATCATATTAAAATGGAGTATACCAAGTCATCAACTTCTTGCGTCAAATTCTATGGTTCTAAATCTTATCTCTATTTAATATTTATCAACTTATTACTTGTATAATTATGTTAACAATTCATATAATAATTGTCTCACTAAAATGATGTTTTTCAATGTTGAGTTGATAAAATCTTACCTGAAACTAATAAACTAAAAAAATAATATTAAAATACTAATAATTTTCATCTAAATAGTGTAAGAAAAATAAATTTGAATAAATATGTATATGAGGTTTGATTATATTTTAGGCCCCAAATTGAAATTTCGCTTTAGGCCCCCAATCACGTTGAGCCGCCCCTGGAGGGGGGAGGAGGGGAGGGGAGGGATTGAAATAAAGTCATAAAGTGTATTAAAGCGGGAATATGATACCATCAATGTAGGATGTCATTTGTAGGATTTTACTTTTTTATTTTATTTTAAGTAGGAAAATTATTTTTATCATTTTTTTAAAAAATTGTTTTTTTAAAATAAAATATTATTAAAAGTTTTGGTCAATTGAATATGAAAAAATTGAACTTTTTAGTACTTTCTTATAATATTGCGAAATTGATCTTTAGATTCTATTGGTTTATTACGAAGATAAAGTTTAATCATTTTCCCATATTTTCAAAAAATTAAGCTGGATCCAGATCAACGAATTTTATTAACTTTTTAAGAGTTAGAATAATACTGTGTCATATTCCATGTTTCGATTGACTTTTTCCTTTTTAAAATAATTACAGTGTTTGCGTTAGGTTGTGTGTACCTAAATTAATTTTATATGATAGCCATCATTTTTTATCAGCAATAGATATTGAATAACCTCGTTCAACAGAGTTAAAATAAATCAAAATAATCATTCAATATTTTTTTATCTCTATTAAAATTTAAACTTAAAACTTCATAACTTTCGACTAGCTTAATTAATGACTAAATCACACTCATAGCGACGAATTGACTTCTTAATTTTAGGCCATCTATGAAATGATGAATTGTTTCTAAAAAAAATTATTGGAGATTTTCTACATATTATACGGGTTCATTTCTGGGGATATAAATTTTTTATGCCTAATATTTTAAATTTAAGACCTTTAATTAAGAATAGAGGATTTTCAATCATCCGTATTTCTATGTTATGTACTAAAGTTTATCAGCTTCTCCTACAGTCCTACTCAAATTTTTTTCTTTTTCGTTACACCTTGTTTAGATGGTTGTTACTCGTTGTATTATATTGGATTGTTAGTTTGTGTAACAACACCTATCCAGGGGTGATATTGCCAAATCTAAAACATAAAGGACGTGAATGTAATTAACCTATTTCCTGAACGCGTCGGTTTGTAGTGAATTTTACTGAATTACGAAAAATGGAAGAAGAAGTAAGAAGCATCGCTTTACAAATCATTAGATTTTTCTTCCTGTAAAGATTCACGTTAAACTTTCCAATTTGATCTCTTTTTTTTTTTTTTTCTACTTTTCTTTCTTTCAACATCAAGCAATTTATAGCACCCAAGAAACAAACAAGTTTCTCACTCTTTCAGCTGACACATAGTTTTTGATTGATTCATCTTCTCTGATTCTTTTATTTTCTCATATTTCCATTTCTTGAAACTTTTCTAAGAAATTCCCACAAAATATGATTCATTTCTGAAATCAATCACTTTGTTTTCTTGGTTATTTGGGTATTGAGGGATTCGAATTTTCCACTTTCTTTCCAAAGTTGTAATCTTTTCAGTGTATTGCTATTTGGGGTTTTTCTTGATTTGGGTTGGAAAAAAGGGGGTGAATCAAAAAGTTGGTTTTTGAGATTTTCTTGGATTTGGGTGTTGTGGGTATTGGTTAAAATTGAGTCTTTTGTTCATTTAAGTTTTTGATCTGTTGGCGTATTCTTGGAAGTTTGTGGTTGTTGTTTGGTGGATTGATGAGAGTTTGAAGTGGATTGGTGATTGTGAGAGATTGTTTGAATGGCTTTAAAAGAGTTGATTGAGATCAAGTTCAGGCTTGCTGATGGCAGTGATATTGGACCCAACAAGTATACACCTGCCACCACAGTGGGTTCTCTTAAAGAAAAGATAATTGCACAGTGGCCCAAAGGTTTTCATTTTCTCTAGCTTTTACTGTATATGTGAATTCAGGGCAGTTTGGTTCATCTTAATAGCCAGCTCTTGTTTGGGTGCATAATTTGTTTGCTTGTTGGATATTTTGGTGTTTGGATTTAAAATTTAGTGCTTCTGTTTTCAGAATGAACATATTTTGTTCTGATGACAATCGTTCTTGTATTAGTCTTGTATTTCTATTGGTTGATTATCTAACCTTGATTATTGTATTTTCTTGTTGTTGTCCTGCTTGTTGTTCTTGTCGTCGTCTTTTTCATCTGTTTTGAGCTGAGGGTCTATCGAAACAGGCCTCTCTATCTTTTTAAGGCAGGGGTAAGGTTTGTGTACAGTGTACACACTACCCTCCCCAGATTCTACTTGTGGGGTTACACTGGGTAGGTTGTTGTTGACAATCATTCTTGTACTTTCTTGTTGCTGTTCTCTCTTGGACCAAGGGGGAGGGGGTATGCTTGGATGAATATATAAAAGGAATCTATCACTATAATTGAAATGGAACAGTTAATTGTTGTGTTGACTGTAGTTTCTGCCTCATGAAAATATACATAAAGCTTGTCTTTTCAATTATAAGGATAGATTTCTTTTTATCTTTTTTCTGTCATGATGCAAGATTGTAAACAAGGCATATATACATGGTATGGCATCATAGATTTCCATTTGGCTTACCATTACAATAATTTTGATGCATTTTGCTATGTGAGTGAATAAAGCTTTGCATTTGATTACTCTTTATAGTTCCTCTTTTCCTCCTTTGGCCAGCATATCCTGTACTATATATAGGTTAAAAGGTCAATGTTTTGTGCACAAACACTGCACAGTGCAAACCTGCTGCATGTTGATTAACAAAAGGTGACCTAATTAACACACATATAAGGCCTCTATCTTTATACTGATCTTGAATAATTATTGCAGAGGCAATTGTCTCATATCCACAAGGATTTGTTATATTGGTCATCAATTTGTTGAGTTTATTTGATACTCTTATGTACTTCTGGCCCTTAGTTACATATGCGAATATTATTAGTGTTGAGTACATCTCCTGATTGGTTTTAGATATCCCTGTGTTTGTTGTGCCATGTTTTGTGAATATTTGTCTTAACCTGTTAAATTCACTTGTAGTTAATGCTACAAGATTATGGTGTGTGCCTAATTGCTTGATATTTGTAACTTCTGTTTATTTGTAAAACTGCGTTAGGTTTAGTCACTGGCAAGTACAATTGAATAATTGAAAGGAAATCTTAAGTTTATTCGCAATATTGGTAAATTAAGCTTAGATTGTTTTACAATACATTAGAACTCTTACTTGTGGACTTCACCACCTCTTTTGCAAGAGTAGTTAGCTTCGTTTTAGCAAATCTAACCCTTCGATCATCTGACAAGTCATACAAGTCAAAATATTCCTCCATAGCTGATAGCCAATCAGCAAATATTGTTGGATTGAGCTTTCCATTAAAAACTGGTAACTCCATTTTGACTTTCTTTCTGATGTTCCCTGTTGTACCTTGATTTTCATAGAGGGTTCTGTTTAGGAGAGTTCTACTCAGTGGTGGTTGAGGCATCTGCAGAGGCCTTTTCGCCACAAGTCCTCTTTTTTCAGTTGGATTAGTTGGTTGGTCAAGCTGTTGAACATCTTCTCCGGTCTCTAGTCCTTCAAGCAAAACAACTCGGACAGATTCTTTTTTTCCTTTCGCTGGTAAATTAGTTGGCAACTGTGAATTCTGCAACTCAAGGGCTCTCACACGAGTTTTTATATTCTGAACCTCTTCAATTAACTTCAGTAGCAACTCATCCCTTTGAATATCGGTTAGCTTTCCGCAACTAGGCTTTTCCACGTGATTTGACATGATACTGATGACCCCTCAAATACGAATTAAGAAAAAATGAAGAGATGAATGAGGAGAAGAAGAGAAAGAGATTACATATATTTCTGAAACATCTTTGGTCCAATGTTTTGCTGCAATCTGATGGTAAAGATGCATTTTATAAGGACAGTTACTTGGGCACCAAGTAAGGATGAAAGCTGTTTGTAGACTTGCTTCCTCATGATTCCATAGACTTGCTGCCCAAGTTTAGACTATTGAAGCATTTAAAATACAAATACTGCATAATATTGAAACATCTAAAAGATAGTATAGAACTCTAAAATACGAATTTCTGTGTCTCACTGGTGAACCTTTGAGCATATATACACCAGATTCAGCTGACGCAGATCCCCTTTTAACAACGGATATGTGAATGCACTTGCTAAGAAAATGAACTTAAAAAACTTTAAGGTCTAAATATTTCTTATGATAACATGAGCTCTGGAATTTGAATCTCTTTGGTCTTTTCCGGATCTTTTTTATTTTACATTACTGTTGGCCAGTAATTGCGAATTGATGAAAAGGGATATCCTCCCATCATTCCTCATATTGCTTTGAAGCCAATTAAAAAGTGTTTTATTTGTTAGACTAATGACAAGGCTCTGATAACGGCAAAGTAAACTAGGATGTTATCATTTGTTCATCTGACTGTCATATGCTTAATTTTGAAGACCATCTCAGAAAGCTACAACAGGAGCACGTAATATAGTTCTAGGTGTATTCTCCTTCTCCACATGTTTGGTTTTAGAGGAAATTTGAATCAGAAATCACAAATGTGCTGCTCTTAGTTTATCTATTCTTTTAGTCACCTATAATCGTCTTGCTGACGGAGGATCTTTTTCATGGCAGATAAAGATTCTGGGCCAAAGACAATAAATGATGTGAAGCTTATTAATGCTGGAAGGATACTTGAGAACAATAAAACACTTGGTGAATCAAGACTTCCAGTTGCTGAAGTTCCAGGAGGTGTCATCACTATGCATGTTGTTGTACGCCCACCTATGAATGAAAAAGCCCGTGGTAAGTTCACAATTTGTTGTAATCATAGAAACTCAGATCATGATAAATGTGTATTAGATAGATGCTTCAATGTATCATGTTGTCGTTTTTGTAGTACATGACAATAATAGGACAGCCTTCCGTCACAAATCACCGGTAGCTCGTATTGGATATTTTTACGTAACCAAAGTGTCAATCAGTAGAAGTGATGAGATTACCTTTTCCTGTTTTCAATTTTCCTTGATGTATCTTGTTGTAGATTCTTGTTGATACAAAAAAACAAATTGTTTGGTACAACTGGTACTTTTGGTACTCTATGCATATTTTGCTTGTGTCAAAACTCATCATCGCCTTGTTAACCTCTGAGCCCTAAAGAATTGGGGTGGAGGAAGGAATTTTTAGGTTGTAAAGAAAAAACTAGTTTGTCAAGTGTCGGATGATAGCTCCAATTCAACTTCACAGCTATGATGCACTTTCTCCGAGGGTCTTCATTTCTGTTTATGATTGTTAATTGTGCTGTTCAATAAGAGTTCAAACTTAAGTGAAGCCTGAGAAATTTATATGTTGATGTATGTTACAGATATTTTATGATTTCTCTGGAGACTCTTTAAATTATTTTGTTCTATAGTGATTCCTTGTTATAGGGATCACTCCCATGTGCAATGTACATGATGCTTTGTGTCTTTGGGAAAATTTTATGAGCTTCTGCATTTCCATCCATAATCTATTTATTTGATTCTTCTTTTTAGTTCTATCTTTTCTGAAGCCTTCTGCTGAATGAAGATTCAATGCATTTGTTACAGATAAACTACAGGATGATTCCATGAACAAAGGCGGGTGTGCATGCACAATCTTGTAATCCGTCTAACCATATAACAGAATTATTCCAGTTCAGTAATATTCCGTAGCTCTTGGATTTTTCAGTAGCGGATCTTTGGATGCATCCAAGAAGTATCAAATGGCAAAATTTGAAGTTCAATTATCATTCAAGCTCTTTGCTTTTACCTTTAGATTTCAGCTTGACAAACTTGCTTAGAAGGCTAAAAAGGATTTGGTGCACTGCTGTGTAGGAACTTTTGTGGGAGGTACGAAAAATTTTCTTCCTTTGTTCAGGTGGGTAAACAAGGGAACAAGAAGAACAAAAGAATTGTTCAAGATTATAGTTGGTTTGATTTCTTTAAATTTGCAATCATATAACTATGAAGAACTTACAAATTCAGGCATGTGTACTTTGTTGTTGTTGCATCATTTCTTTTGTCATTGATGATCCAATGTCTATGGAATTAAATTCACCGTAACAATTTATATTGTTTATGTTATTTCCCAAGTTACTTGAGCTGAGAGTCTATCAAAAACCTCTCTACCATGTAAGGGTAAGGTCTGCATACACATTACCCTCCCCATACTCCATTTGTGGAATTACACGGGTATGTTGTTGATGTATGTTATTTCCAAAGTAGGATATGGTCCTACTTCCATCTCCAGCAATATGATGCATGTCAAATTCCAGCTTACATTATATCTTAAAGCTGTGCCACAGGGAGGCACCCAAATTGAAAACTTAAAAAGGACAGCAATTGAGTTGTAACAAATTTTTATGCCTCTTGCGTGGCTTAAAGTAGGAGAAACTGAGCTAATTACAGGATAATCTAATTTCTATACATAATATTACAGCCAAATACAGGTATAAAATGGAAAAATGAGGCTATAACATATGGGATATCTAGATCTACACATAACTTAAATGGGTTACAAAATCTGACAGCCACAGTTTAACATTTACAAGGAGCAAGTCAGCTTGCAGGGTTGGTTCCTCCATATTTGGGACTTATCTTGGCATGCTTGTCCATAAAAGTGAACCAACTTTTAGAGCTGACATCAAGACAAGGTGTGGAAGTCTTGCACGTTGACACTCTTCGCGAAACTAGCAAATCAAGAAATGGATTGAAAGAGTGCCTACGAAGGACTGTCTACAATGGAGGATGAGGAGCGATTTAGTTGCATGAGCTTTGTCCTAGATGCTCTGACATTCTTGAGTGTCATCTTCAGTTTTTGCCTTTCGCCTTCAACCTCAGCAAACTGGAGGCTTAACTGAGAGTACCGATCGTGCATTTCCCTCAGTTCATTCTCCTTAGCTACTTGCTTTTCTTTGATTTCCAACATTTCCTTGATCAACTCATTGATGTCTCTGAAGCTTTTGAAGATTGCTTCGTCATCACTATGTTGTTTCAGAAACGAACTGAAGCATAAATAAATTACTTAGTCACTTCTATAGTATTTTATCCTCGCAATAAATATCATCACATTGAACCCCAAGAAAACAACACATTTTCACTGTGAAAACAGAAAATCTCTTCTAGATAGTTACTTCTCCAGTAAGCTTCCTAACGAAAGACAGAAATTACTGATATGGCAATAGCCTTGGATACTGCTTATTGCCACAAAAGCAGATTAAAAGAAAATATTCGTCTTTTAATGTCTTCATAGATAGACATAGGAAATGCTTCAAGGAATTCCTTCTAGAACATGATTTACAGATTCTATATATGCAGTTCAGTATATGAATTATGTGAACTTCATTTGTAATTCTTAGTATAATTGAGAAGCTAGGCAAGAAGTGTTCAGAAAGCCATTTTGATGCATCACCTGTCAATCAGCTACATGTAAAATACTATTATTTCCATAAAAAATTTCCAGAATAAAGCAATATGTCCGAGGAAAACATAATCGATGTTAGCATAGATTTACAGCAACAGATCAAACATAGACAGTAATATCAATTGTTAGCAGTGGAAGACTCAATTTAGCAACATGAGAAATTAAGCAGGGCTGGCCAATGTTCTTGAGAATGTTGATTAAGCAGCGTGAAATCATAAATGAAAAGTTTTACTATAATTAACTAAAAGAAATGGAAGAATGAAGTATCTGCCAGGGCCAATTAAGCAGAAGGCACTTACCTCTGGAACAAACTCGGTTTATTTTTTGCCTTCAATGCTTCAGCAAGCTCAATTTCCAGGGCAAGTACCCTCTCCAATGCATTACCAGTGATAGCTATATCCTTGAATGTTGGGAACATGCTTCGGAGCTCTTCATTTGCCTTGCAGATTAAGAACCATGATAAATAGTGATCAGCGCACAATAACATATTCAACTACAATATATACAAGTTATCTCAGTATACCTTGTGTAACTGCGCGAGTTCGCTCTGAAAAATTTCAAAGCCTTGATCGGAATAATGGTCCTCAGGAATGAGAGAGTTTTCACGTTTCATCCTTTCCAACTGCAAGTCAAGTAAAAGAAAAAAATTGATATGACACCACCATATATCTCACTTGTAATCCGATTGTTGACTCAAAGTTGGATCAACAAATACCTCTTCATGTAGATGCTCCATGCTAGACCTCAAATTCCTGCTTCCAAACTGTTCACTGCTGAAATCTATATGCCTTCCATTGCTGGGTGGTGAGTAACCTTCAAGAGGTGCATCTCCAGTTGTTGCATGCACACCTACTGATGCGGCATCCTGTAAATGATTGAAAAGGAAGAAAAAACTAAGTACTTCAAAAACCAAAGGACTCCATGAAGTAAAAAACAAAAGCAATCTGCGCAATCAGAGACATTGATTAACTATATTTACTTCATCACATCAGTTAATTAGGAAAGTGTAGGGGTATATTTACTATTTATTTTATGTTACTACATTTCATCATGCGAGTTCTGTAGCCTTTAACTGTGTAGCTCAAAAAATGAATATTTAAATAAGGTCTTCAAGAAAACATTCTACATCACTACCACATTAGTAGTTCTTGTCAGAGAGCTTACCGGACTGAGTAGAAGTTTCACTGGTGAGCTTGATTCTTCACTTCTATCATCCATAAATAAGGTTGTTTCCTTCACATTCCAAGCATCAGATGAATCCTCTCGAGGTGTGGCATCAGGAGAAGGATTTACATTTGTCTCATTAGGCGCAAGTTCAACTTTGCTCATCTGGCCATTTTCTCTCTTAGATACAACAGAAGATGTGACGTTCATCAGCTCTTCTCTAGTCGAAGTAAGTTCAGCTGCAATTCTGGAGTATTCTCTCGCTCGTTCTTGCAAAGTTATTTCAAGTTTTTCCTTTTCTTCCTTGCAACACTCTAGACTTAGCAGAGCACACTCCAATTCTGCCTTTATTCTGTCATGATCTTTCATTATTTCACGCTTATCAGAAAGCAGAGACTGTAACTCAGATTCCAAAGACAAGATTTTGAGAGCTAGGTCTTCATTTTTCCTCAAGTGCAAAGCTTCAGATCTCTTCCTGCTTTCAATTTCATCTAATGCATCCTGTAACTTCAAAAGCATATCTTCTCCGTGCTTTTTGGAGATAGAAACTTGTTGCTTCAACTCTTGGAATTTTGATTCATATTGCTCTTTTATAAAGACTATCCGTAAGGATTCTTGCATAGCAACAGGTGGTCCTTCAGATTCTCTTTTCTCGCGAACCTGGAGACATTCTGCATCAGCCTTATCCTTAAGCTCCTTCAAATGGATGGATAAGTTTCTGAACTCTTCGGTTTTCAAGGCCTGCTCAGAGAGCTTGTGAGTTAGCTCATTACACTTGTGGGTGAGCTTATTACATTGCAACTGCAAGGTGACCATTTCATCTTTGTTGTTCTCCTGTAAGATCCTGTAGGGGTGCAGTTCATCTAATTTGCCTCGGAGCACAATCACCATGATCTCCAGTTCCTCCTTGCAAAGTGACAAGTAATTAAGTTCTTCTTCAGCATTTGCCAGCTGGTTCTTCAACTTCCCCACTTCAAGAGCATGATGATTATTAGTTTCGAGGAGAGAATCCTCCAATATTGTCATCTCCTTTTTGTATTCCTCAAGTTTCACTGTGTTAACATACTTGGCATCTGAAAGAACATTATTTTGAGCAATAGAAGCTTCTAAGTCAGATCTAACAGAAGAAAGAGATCTTAGCAACTCCTTGTTTTCTTTAATTGAACAAGCCTCACTTGCAAGGCATTGATTCAAGTTGGCCTGTAAATCATGACATCTCTTCTGAAGCTCGGCAGTGGACCCATCCGATGATTTAAGCTGCCGCACAAATTCCAGATTAAGTGTTTCACAGTGGCTCATGGCAACTGTGAACTTAACATCAGAAGCTATGGCATACTCTTGTATTTCTAGCATGTGCCTTTTAAGATCAGAAAAATAGGAAACCTCTAGCTGAAGTTTTTCCATTTGCTTACTACGCTGCTGCAAAAGATGGTCAAGTCTAGATTTCTCCGTTCCTAACTCTGATGCCAACTGCCTGAAATGCACCAGATCAGCATTTTGCTTTTCCAAATCCAGCAACTTCTCATTCTTCTCGTTCAATTGAGAAGTAAGATCTCGCACTGAGCTCTCTAAACCAGAAACACAGGACAAATCATTCTGAAGCTTAGCCACATGCTCATCACGCTGCAGCACAAGTTGGTCAAGTCTACATTTCTCCACTTCAAAATCTGCTGCCAGCTGCCTAAAACTTACTAGTTCAGCATGTTGCTTTTCCAAGTCCAGTAACCTGTCATGCTTCTCATTCAATTGAGAAGTAAGATCTCTGACTGAGCATTCTAAACCAGAAACACAGGACAACTCTTCCTGAAGCTTTGCCACATGCTCATCACGCTGCTGCAAGAGCTGATCAACTCTAGATTTCTCCACTCCTAACTCTGATGCCAGCTGCCTGAAATGCACCAGCTCAGACAGCTCAGCATTTTGCTTTTCCAAATCCAGTAACCTGTCATTCTTCTCGTTCAGTTGAGAAGTAAGTCCTAGCACTGAGTCCTCTAAACCAGAAATACAGGACATCTCTTCCTGAAGCTTAATGATATGTTCACCGCGCTGCTGCAAAAGCTGATCATGTCTAGATTTTTCCACTTCTAAATCTGATGCCAGTTGCCTGAAATGCACCATTTCAGCATTTTGCTTTTCCAAATCCAGTAACCTGTCATGCGTCTCATTCAATTGAGAAGTGAGATCTCTTACAGAACCCTCTAGACCAGACACACAGGATAACTCCTGCTGCAGCTTTGCTGCATGCTCATCATGCTTCTGCAAAAGATGACTAAGTCTAGATTTCTCAATCTCTAACTCTGATGCCAGCTGCCTGAAATGCACCAGTTCAGCTATTTGCTTTTCCAAATCCAGTAACCTGTCATCCTTCTCATTCAACTGCAAAGTAAGATTTTGCACTGAACCCTCTAGTTTATCTTTAAGAC